AACTGTCTCTGGAAGTGAAAGCACCAGAAAATAAATTAAGTCATACGCAGCTGTCATCCGTACGCACGGAAGTACGGGCAAGATGCCGAACACCCTTCGCAGGATGCAGCGCACCCTTCATGCGACTCGCCGAATACCTCATGGCGCTTCGCGCTTGGTGATGTGAGAGCCTGGTCCGGTGAGAACCCGGTGTGCTCCGTCCCGGCTTTGTAGGGATGCAAGGTCAATGGCCTAACGACTACGGCATGCACGACTATGAGTACCCCCCCCCCGCATGCTACCCTGGCGCCAGAATGGACGGGACGAGCAGACATACACGTGCATTTCTCTTCATTTGCTAGCGCTTCTGTTGAATGGAGAATAGTCTAGCCTCCCCCTCCCAGGGTCGCAGATCATGGCAGCCTTTGGAACGCTTGCTGTTGTCAGCCACATGGAGACTGACATCATGCAGCCGGTTAGTGCGGTCGATAATCATAGTAAGGACACACACACACAGCATCCGGCGTGTCTTTACTTGCCGCACCTTGTGAAGAATGTGCTCTTGTATTGTACCGGACTTGAGACACTGGACCAACTTCTGCCGCTTTTTTGGCTAAAGCATAAAAGCCCACCACATGGCAGACGGAACGTTCCGGGTTGCCGTCATTGATGTCGCAAGCAAGGGGCATGCAACAGCTCTCCTTTCTATCCCCGCTCCGTCCTCTCGAGGGGACGCACGGTCAATGGTCTTGCAGCGAAGGCATAAAGAGCACGCCCCCCTCCGCCATCTCCCCAAGCACATTGACCGCGAAGAAAATCGCCCTGCCCCTCCCAAACGTATCTACTATTGAAGAGCATTGACCCAAAACTTGCGAAATCCAGGTGGGTCGTAAAAGAGGCGCTGGCGGGTATCGGTTTAGCTGCAACGGAGCCGGCGGCGTCAGCCATTCTCGCAGAGGGGCTCCGCAGGTGCGATTTTCTCCTCCCCGCTCACAGCAGGGGGTGGGGTTCCTCCTCGGAAGAACAATCCGCCGCCGCCATCGGAGGCGGGGGCCCGGCAAAAGAAAGGCCGACGGCGAGTGGCGGGGATGGGTGGGACTTCGCCGACGATGCTGATGATGACGGAGACGTGAGAGATGCACCGAGGGCGGCTGCGGCGGCGGCGGCGGCGGCGGCAGGGGAGCACGGGTCGTCGATAGTACTGGCTGGAGGTGGCGGCGCCGCTGGCGGAAGTGGTGGCGGTAGGGATGGTGGCGGTGGCGCGGTGGCGGCGGTAGGGCTTGGATCCGCGGGCGATGAAGGGGACAGGGACAGCGAAGTGCGGCGGCTGCGCGCACGACTGATGTCCCTGCGGTACCTGTTGGACACGTTCCTGGCCCTGGAAGGGGAGCAAGGGTGCGCTTTCGACGCGGACGGACTGCGGGAGTTCCTGGGTCGCGGCGCGGAGGGGTCGAAGAAGGGTAAGGCTTGGCGCCGTGGTAGCTCATGGAATGGCAACACTTTTTATTTGTCGTCCCCTGTTTTGGACTATACTGTACTACGGCCACATCAAGCGAGGGCTGCTGATGTACTTATATACATCACCGCGCCGCATCGTGGTGGTGGTTCACTGCATGTTTTTTTTTTTTCCTACAAATATCGCTCTCTATTTCCAAGCAGGGTTGGGAGACGGTGGTGCCGAGGAGACAGCGTGGGAGAACTTCCCTTACAGGAGAGACGCTCTCCGGAGATCGTTGATGGGGTTTGCGCGCAAGGGGGAGGCGTCGGCGGTGGGGGTGTTGATGGAGAGACACCCGCTGGAGACGCTGCCGGCTAGGCTGGAGGCTCTCAGGTGGGCACTGCTGTGTTGTGATGTGCCTTTCGCGGGTGTGTGTCGAATCTGAAAGAGTGCGGTCCCAAGGGACGGGGTTATGGATTGGAGCGACTCTGCTGTGTGTGGACGGCGTGTTGGGTATTGTTTGGGGAGTTTTTGTGTGGCTGCGCGCGAGCGAATAGGTGAGCAACAGGCTGTTCGGTGTCTCGCCGGTGTTAATGCTGGTGCTGGTTGTGATGTTGATGCTGATCGTGATATTGATGCCGATGCTGATTGTGATCTTGTTGTCGATGGCGATGCTAATGATCTTGATGTCGATGCTGATTGTGATCTTGTCGTCGATGCTGATTGCTCATGATCTTGCTATCGATGTCGGTTATTCTTGATTTCAATGTCGGTGCTGATTGCGATGTTGATGTTGTTGATACGGCGACGCTCTGCTTCAGAATGGCGTAAGAAACAGAAGTCAAAAGCAAGTCCTCTGTATCCAACCCGGCTTTCTCCACACTCACCGTCAAGACCCCCAACACAGTCCATCTCAAACGAGTAACTATCAGTCTTTCATGAGAAAACGAACACACACTTCCGTTACCCCCCCCTACGATTGTATCCAGCAGAGTTTTCCTCCACACTCACTGCCGTCAAGTAGTATTTCAGTGTGACTCTATGTTACAGTCCTGAGAGACGAACGCGCACGTCAGGTACCCCCCCTCCCCCCCTGCATACTATTACCATCTGCCAGCGCCCTTCCAGAAACCCTTGACCCGAGGTCGTACGCAAGCCTCCTGCCGTGCTGCGGGGTAGTAGCCCCCACCGCCTCCTCCGCTTCCGCCGCTGGCATCGGTTCTTCCGCCGGGGCGACAATGCCGCCCTTCCCGCTCTTCTTTCGCGCAAGAGAAACTGCGGCGAGAGCCGGGGAAGGGCTTCCGTTGGTAGAGGCGTTTACGGTGCCAAGGACAAGGCGGCGGAGGCGTAAAAACAGGACGGAAGCGACGACCACGATGATGATGACGATGGCGGTGCAGGCTCGTGATGCGCCGTTTTTGGGCGGCCAATCAGGTGCGAGGGTTTGTGCAGGCCATAGGCAGCAAGCAGCGTGCCATAGGTGCTCACGCGACGTGACCGGGCTGTCGACGGCAAGTAAGTACTGCTACGGCGGTGTTGAAGCGCGGTGTTGAAGCGTTGGCCGGAACGAAGCATCACTCGCTGTAGAGACTTTAATCCGTCCCCTTCGACTATCCGTCCCCTTCGACCTCCCCCCTCCGGTGTTTGCCATCGGGGTTGGGTTTACGTCGCTTGGCTATGACGTTGTAAAACAAGCCGCCCCCCCCCCCGGTGCTTGCCATCGGGATTGGGTTTTTGTCGCTTGGCAACGACGTTGTTGTAAAACAAGCCATTTCACTTAGTGAACTCGGCAACCAGGTTACCGTTTTTTTTTTTACCTCCGTTTTTTTTTTGGCGGTAACCATAATGGCGGTCGAGTAGATCATGTTGTGCGGGGT